ACAAGGGGGCGCTTCAGAGCCCAGTGAGTAGTTGAGGGCGCGGACCTGGCAGGGCCCCACGGCCTCGGGCGTGACATTGAGGGTGCGGGCGGCACAGTCCCGCAGGGGCATGTGGCTGCAGGCGAACTGTGGAAAGACCAGACGTGGTGACAGGGAGGTTGTGACCCCAGGAGCCCTCCTCCCCTCGGGGGGGCAGCACCCCAGGCTCAGACACAGGCTGCCTGGGTGGTCTTCTCAGAAGGTGCCGGGGGGGCCCAGCTTGGCCATTTACCTGCTCCCTGCTTTGGGAACACAGACAGGAAGCTGTTTATGTCCCACCCATGGGGTCTCCCCCAGCTCCCCCTCTGCACAGCCCCCCCCCAAGCTTATACTGCGTCCCCCAAGCGAAGTCCCCTCCCGCACTCTGGACTGCCCCCCCAGCTTGCACTGCATCCCCCACTCCTCCCCCAGCTCTCACTCCATACTGCACCCCCCCAGGGGCCCCTCCACTCACCCGCCAGGCTGTACCATGTTGACGAACGCGGAGATGAAGACGAGGAGGATGGTGAAGACGGCAATAAAGGTGTTGTGGGTGCGGGACTGGACGATCTTCTGGGAGACCCGCTGCAGGGCTACAGGGAAGAGCTGGGGTGGGGGAGAAAGAGGGGCTGAGAAAGGGGTGCCGGCCTCGCACGACAGCCCCAGCCTGGCATGGGAGGGGTCACCTTCCCATGTGCCCTCCCTGCCCTAGCAGGGTAGGGGCAGTACGCCTCCCCTCCTCCACCAATGCTAACGGACAGCCTTGCCCAAGGGCTCAGCACCCCCAGGGAACTCCTCATGGGGTACAAGGAGCAGCCTGCCCGCTGACGTAGGAATGGAGATGCCCCCTCACACACACACACACTCACACGTGTGTGTGCACGAGCAGATACTCACGCTGATGCAGGAATAGACAGCGCAGACAAAGAGGATGTTCACCAGGATGACGAAGATGCTGACATAGACGCCGAGCATCAGTGGGGAGCTGTGGAGAAAGCGGCCCATTGAGCCCCACATGGTGCAGGCTCCCTGGGCTGCAGTGTGGAGAGGCTGCAGCCAGGCCTACACTGGGACCACATGCCTGAGCCCATGGGTGGGGGGAGGAGGGCTGCCAGCCCCACGGGAGGGCACAGGGCCAGTGGGGGAGGGGGTTGGGCTTACCGTGGGAACATCACAATCTGGATAAAGCAGATGAAACAGAAGACGAGCAGGGTGCAGGCCACGTAACCCCCAAAGCGATCGTCCACCTTCTTGGAGTACTGTGGGGAGAGGGGGCTGGGTTACTGCCTGGGGGGGACCCAGCTGTGCTGTGGGGGAGGGGGCACATCTGTCTAGGCCCTATGAGGGAAGGCGGAGGGGGATGAGCGGGAGGGGGCGAGGTGGGGTCTGGAGGCAAGAGGGAGGCAGAGGCCCCACCGTGGGGCCGGAGGGGGGCAAGGGCCCCGGTACCTTCTTCTCCAGCTCCGGCGCCTGGAAG